AAGTTTATTGTTTGATTTAAATGATAAATTCGAGTTAACAGAAGCTTCGCTTTTAGCCCTTGGCTAAATCTATATATTATAGAGAAGGGGCAAGAAGATGTTCGGGGGGTGGGGCTAAAATTTTGTGTGTTTGTTCGGAGGTTTGAAAAATCGGTGAGGTCAAAGGGCAGGACGTAAAATCTGGCAATAAAACTAACGGCCTGATTACTTGAACTGGGCATGCTCGCTTTGCAGAGATCTCAGCACCCTAGTCAAACGCAACAAAAATCAACTTTGCGATTATATGACAACTGAGCCAGCCCAGTTAGCTGGGATCCCAGTATTGTGATGCTGGGATCCCGAGTGGAAATTTTCCAGGTTACCAAGCGTGTGATACACTTAGTTTGGCTTTATCACGCTTGTCGGGTGGCCGGGCGAATGAACCAAGCGAGAAACAGGACAGCGGGTAACACACTCTTCATGCGCGTTACTTGCAATCTCTATATACAAATGGCGGCTACGGGCTGGCCCTTTTCATGTAATACCTGGATAAAAGTCACCTCGGCAGAGCTAGCCAGACCGGCTCATGTGATCAGACTCTTACTGAGAATTGTATTGTTACGCAGTTTGCACGTGAAAGCTTTGGAATTTGCCGCTTCCGTTGTTCGTGTATGAAAGAATACGACTTAAACTAATTAACCCAAGTATTTCAAAAGTAACTGTCACTAATGCAGTTTGCTCTGGAAGATGTTGCACTCTGCCCCTTTTACGGTTCGAACGTGAAGGAATGCAACTTGTTTACGAGATTGTTTGCTCAATGAGATTTTAAGACATCACCTCCTTTCCGAAAATCTGCAATTAAATTATGTATCGTTCAATGTTATCTTTATTTATCTCATGCACGATCACGGAATTTTGCGTGACATCTTCTTTGGTACTCGTTCACTAAGAGTAAAAATATTGTCAAACTCTTGGCAAAAAGCCAAACCCGTCAATTGCAATTATTTTCGACAGATAAAAATTCAAATTTCTGAAAAATCGCCCGGCTTCTAGGTAAGATGAAAAATACTGTAAGCTTAAGATTTATAAGTTTTATCTTTTCCGAGCAAAAAATCGTCCTCTGAGAGGACATGTCCTTACTGACAATGAATAGTCTGTACAGTGAAAAAGGGTAATGAGCGGTACTTATGGTCCAGAGGAAAGACATCCACGCCGTTTTCTGCGAGGACAATTATTTTTTTAATTCGAATAAATTTTTCTTAGTTAAATTAACCCTTTCTAAGCTAAATTAAGTGCTTTTTAAATCGACAGGAATTGTAAATAGTGTTTTGAATGAATAGTTTTTTCTTTTTTTCAAGCGAATTAATTGTAAATAGGATTTTAATAGTTAGCATTGTTGTCAAATTTCATTATTAGTATTAAAAAGAAAAAAAAAATTTCCAAAGGGAAAATTTAAATTATTTAATAGTTTATTTCACTCAGTGTACCTTGTTTTTCCATACGTTTGATTTCCGTTGCCGATTTGATTGCCGTGCGTTATCTGTGGGACGTATGTAACGAGGATAAATGCTGTGTCGTGGCACATCTCGCGGTAGATATTCTGGTCGCGTTGCTTGTCTTGTTTACGTTCGCACGTATTGCGTGCCTATTGCAACTTTGAATCAGAATTATATAATTAAACGAGACTTACTTGTAAGTTGATGTTTCATTTGAATTCTATCTGTCATCAGTCCTACGTCACTACGGAGTACCATGAGAGTTCAAAGCCTCTGAGCTCCAACATGACCCTTCAACGTACCAAATATAAATGGGGTACGTGGTCGTAAATAGGAAACGTAACAAGGCGTTCAATAAAACAATAAGAAATGGACTTTAATAGAACCAAGCGAGAAATGGCGTGACAAATATTTCGACAATCGAGATAATGTAATAACTGAGATAAGTGGTAAATGGAACAAAGATAAGGTTATATTTCCGGTGTCTAGTTAGCCTGTGCAGCTGAGTCAAAATGAGTCAGAAGAGTTTGACCGAGGTTGCCACTAATAGGCTTGTTATAGTGTTCAGCGAATGTTCGAGCGTTCGACCAGCCCCCAGCCTTGAGGATATCCGCAAGAGGAAGGTGTGCGTTGGCGCTGTAAGAGGTGGAGGCTGTGCGACTGCTATGTGCCGAGAATATGCTAACGTCTATACCAGCATCCTGGAGCGTAGATCTAATCCATCTAGCCACAGTAGAGTTGGTGACAGGCTTGTGCGGTTTCGTGTAACTGATCAGGAGGCGTGGGTTGCTGCGCAGCGAATGCGTTTTCGTGATGTAATGTTTGATGTAGGTTACCGGGCAAAGACGGGAGTCTGGGGCGAATGGTCGTATTTCAATGGGCGCAAGGTGTTTGCCAGGTCGAGTTGTTTTCAGGGTGTCCTGTATAGTGAAGGTAATTCCGGTCGTGGTTTCCTGCATACATGAGGTGTCCAGTTTGGAGAGTGCGCGGTGACAAGGGCAAGTAACATCGTAAGATTCAGCGTAAGTTGTTTTAATGTCAAGTCGTTAAGGGCCGGAAATGATCGAAGATATGTGAGGACAATGCAAGCGTCCCATATAGTGGAGTATCTGGGCAGAGATGGTCTAAGTTCAAAGGTTCCTTTGAGGAAGCGGGTTACCAGGGGATGTTCTCCAAAAGTCGTCTTATCCGCTGGTGTAATAGCCGAGGACAAGGCGGATCGAGCAGTGTTGATAGCATTGTAACCGACCCCCTGTTTGTAAAGTAAAGTGAGAAAATCCAGGCCGTCGTTAATGATGGCATGGGTGACATCCAATTGTTTGTTTTTACAATAAGTCACCCATCGAGAGAGGTAGGTTGTGTACTGTTTTCCGGTGGATTTTCTCCAAGAGGCCATGAGGATGTCTATGGTATCAAGGGATAAACCTAACTTTTGTAGTTGCTCCCGGACAAGTGGCGTACTAGTAGCGTTAGGGTTTTGTGAAGTGGATGTAGTTTCTCGGGTTTCCCGGGTAGTTGGAGGAGGTGTATGGCTGGATGAAGAGTTATCAGTGGCTCCACGCACATCTGCATGGCTTGGGGAAACCAAGCTTGTGTCGGCCAGTTGGGTATGATCAGGATTCCTGAGGCTTGGTCCTCCCGGACTCGCTGAAGAAATGCGTTGATTACACTGAATGGGGGAAAAGCATAGAATTTAAGATAACGTAAGTTAAGTGAAAAGCATCAACGGCAACTGCGCCTGGGTCAGGCTTAAACGATACATATTGAGGAAATTGATTATTTAGTCGTGATGCGAAAAGGTCTATATTCGGGCGCAAACTTAGTTGCGACAGTGCATTGTTTAGGTAGGCCCTATCAACCATCCATTCCGTGTTATCGTTGGTTCGTCTCGATTCGAAATCAGCCTTGATATTGTGAACCCCGGGGATGTGAGCATCACTGAGCCATATGTTACGGTCGATGCACCATTCCCAAATTTCTTTGCCTAGGCGGTTGCAAGGATCTGAATGGCTAGTCCCCATATGGTTCAGGACTGCTATTGCAGTTGTGTTATCAGTCAGGATTCGAAGGTGGGTGTTGTAATGTGTTTTAAAAAAGGTTTGTAGGCCCATGAACACTGCTAATAATTCGAGGTAGTTTATGTGATGTGATTTTTCCTCATCGGACCAAAACCCCCCAGTGCTTGTGTCATTGTAAACCGCCCCCCAACCATCCTGAGATGCGTCGGTGGTGAGGGTGTTTGAGGGTTGTCCATGGGTTATGACGTTATGGGAACTCGCGATGTTGTCCACCCACCACTGGAGTTCCTTTTTGCAATCTTCGGTTAAGAACATATGACTGTCAAAATCGCCTTTGGCGGTTTTGAGGGCTACGGTTTTGGTATGCTCAAGAACTCTATAATAAAGTTGTCCATACATGACCCCAGGGAATGATGAAATATTTTTCCTATCACACAGGCTAGTTGTCGTATTGTCGGAAGGCCTTGTCCCAGAAGAGTGCCACAAGCTTCTTTAACTTTTAAGGCCTTCTCAGGGGTCAGTGTTATAGTCATGGCGACCGAGTCGATAATAAAGCCTAATAGAACCAGACGTTGGGATGGGATGAAGACAGACTTGTCTGGATGGATTGTAAACCCCAAGGAATCGAATTGAATAAAAGTGTCAATCACGTTAGAGACACAAAGATCGTATGTTCTTCCTTGGAGGTAAAGGTCATCAATGCAACTAGCTGATATGTGACCTTTTTTGTGTAATTCGGTAAGTGGCGGTTTTAGCAATTTTGTGAATTTCCTAGGGCAAGAGGATAACCCGTTGGGTAGGCACGTGAACTGATACAGAACATCTTTCCACATGAAACGTAGGTATTTCCTGTGCGAGGGGCTTACGCCAACCATGTAATAGGCATCCTTCAGGTCTAGCGAGGCCATATAGCAATTCTTTTCGACTAATCGTATTATTGACTGAAGTGTTTCCATTTTAAAATGGTGATAAGTGACAAATTAGTTTAGTCCCTTGAGGTTTAGAATTAGTCTGTGTCCTCCATCTTTCTTAGGCCTAATGAAGATGTTGGAGATCACCTCATAAGGAGTATGATCAGTTGTTTCAATAATGTTTTTAGACAGCAGTTTTGCAACTTCACTGTCAATAATGGCACTTTCTTCAGCAGAGAAAGTGGATTGTGGGCGTTTAGTGTTATACGGTTGGGTGTCAAACTCAATTGTAGCCCCTCTGACAGACGTCAAAATTTCCTTATCTGATGTAATCATCTGCCAGTTGCTAATGGACTCGGTTAGGCAACCAGCCCGAAAATGAGTGCATCTATTGTCCAAATATTCCTTAAGGTCAGGTACCAAAGATGGGAATTCACTTACCGATTTTTTAATGTTTTCCAAAGATTGTATCATGTCTTCTCGGTTCGGTTCTTCGAGAAATTGGGTTTTTTCTGACCCTTCCCTAAAAAAGGCGGTTTGCTCTCTGCAGGCCGGTAGTGTTTGCCATAGTTCTTTTGGGGCCTGCGCTTATCATGATGGGAATTGTATGGGCGCGAGAAACGTGTCGTGCCAGCTTTGCCTACGCCTATGTCTTTCCCAGTTTTGTTAGTATCTTTGGCGTCTCGTACTTGCTTTGCTAGGTCGGCCCCAAAAAGCAGGTCGGAACGACTGGTCGACTCATTTGCCTGGGAGCAAAGCGAATGAAATTCGGCTTTGAGGGCCAGCTTAATCTGCTCTCGGCGTAAGCGGGAAAGCTCCCCGACAGCGTGTCCTAATAGGACAATGGCGTCGATGTTAGCGGCCAGTGTTTCCTTGTCTGTGCTCGGTTGCTGATCCACTAATTTATCGCATACTTTTAGAATTCCGAAAGTGGCTTTCTGTAAGGCTTGTTGTATGTTGCTGACTCTCAGGTCGGCTTTGCGCCTAAAATTATTCATTTGATCCCAAATTTCTGGGTTGACTCTTACCGTGGTTATCTCGGGACAATTTTCCGGTTTAGCGTGTTTAGCCAGGAGTGCTTTGAGTTTGTCGTTGGGAAGGGTAATGCCCCACCGTTTGGACGCTATGTTAGCCAAGCGTTGGTTTATTTTGGCGCCAACAAGTTCATCGTCAGTGAAGTCAGCCTCTAGAGATTTTAGAAGCTCGACTTCTTCTTTGGGCTCAGTTGTTTTAGCTGTGACTTCGGCCTCTTTGGGGTTCGATTCCTCAAGGAATTCATTTATGTCTTCATCCGAGGGCGAGATACTTAATTCGTCTTCCTCGCGCCTTCGTTTACCAGACGCCTCGTGGTCGTTGTCTTCAGACTCGGAGTCGGCGCTCGAAAGATCGTGGCGGCTGTGGCGCCGTTTCTTTTGCGCTTTGAGTCTTGGCGTGCCACAATCGATTGTAATAAAGAGGCCATTGTGCCCATATTTACGTTAATATCTGAAAGCGTTTTCGGTAGGGTTTCGCCAGGTTGGCTGCTAGACGAACCTGCTTCAGCAGGGCGAACAATCTCAGGTTGAGCATTATTGCCAGGTTGGCTAACTGAGGCATCAGTTCGGTGACTAACGCCAAGTTCACCGTTTTCGGCTGACATAATGGGTAATTACTAAAGGGAAAAGAAAATAAGAAACAATGGTGAGTGGTCGCTTTTCAGATCGAAAAATACTCACGACACTAGGTCTCCGTTGGGTTGGCTCCGAAAGCGAGCGTACAATGGCTCAATAAGCTAGCGCGCGTGCTTCTCATGGTACTCCGTAGTGACGTAGGACTGATGACAGATATAACAGGCGGTTTCGATCACTCTACTTGGGCGACGCCCAAGTAATTGCCCCCGCAGAGATTCCGCCCAGAAGGAGGCACTCTAGTAACTCGCGCGTATATTAAGGACAATACTTACAGTTGAAATATACAGTCAGTAAGCCAGAAAAAAATCTCGACTTGCTTGAACAGGGGCCGCAAGGAATCGGTCGCAAGTACGAAATAGTTAGGATGACGTAAAGACAGAATATCCCGAGAGGACTGCTTAGGTAGATTTTATGACATTGTTATGCAGTCATACGTCGATACTCTTTTGCTTTACGTGTTATCAGTGACATTCTGTGGAGTAGTCGTTTTGAAAGTTATGGACCCAAAGACACTTGTTAAGCGTAGATGAAGTTATAAGGTGCGTAAAACTGCGTATATATAAACACTTGGAGAGTTTGCCAGACACGAGTTAACAAATCTTTGATTGGAAACCTTGTCAGACACTCTTTCCCTATCTTTGACCGGAATAAAACTCAGCCCTAACAAGCAAGACGAGTCAGCTGACGAGTGAACAACGGCTAGCTTATCACTAGCAGAACGATGGACGATTACAGAAATTCACCGACAGTCAAATTCTGTGCTGACTTATTCCCTTCTCACAGATGTCCTTCCGCTACAAAGTTTAAAATAAGACTAGAATGTGCGAGCGTGAATTGGTCAAACGTCCTTTTAATTTCTAAGCCTTACTTTCCGGCAAATAAAATGAACTGAATGTTAAAAGTGAAAGAGAAATAGCGAAAAATTCAACTTCTAATTAAATCTTTTCTTATGGTTTAGAATAAACTGTTCTCGAAACTGAGAAAGTTTTGATCAAAGCTGTGTAAATCGAACTGAAACTGTGCATGGAAACTTGCGGTTCCTGTGTTTATCTCACCTTTTGTATGGAATGTGTGTGAAAATCTTCGTTATGAATAAGTATATTTCAAGAGCTACACAACAAGCAAAAATACTATTGACCGACAATATACAGAGCGTCAACTATTACTAGTGTCAACTATTACTAGTATACTATCTGCCTATCCATCTATATAGTTTTGTATTCTAAGCTTCTTATTACTTGGGCGGAGCGCCAAGTAAAGGATTCTCGACGCTCAGGAATATCCCAAAGTTGCTGTTTTTGGACAAAACTTGGCACGCAAAGTCTGTTGGTTTTCGGTTTGAGTGGGCTATTTGACGAAGTGAGAGCGGAATTAGTTCGAGATATCTTGAAATCACTTTCAGTTCTCTGATTTATTCTTTGATTTATTCGAGGAAGAAAGAATTATTATTTTGGCTTGCTAGGGATTTGAACCGACTTACCTGCGGCCCGTCAGATCAGAGGAGACTCTAAGTTGAGGGATTAGCCGATTGCGCTACTGCGACCCAAGGTAGTTTGGGATATGAAAAATAGTTATGAAATGATGCACTAGTTTCGGGACAAGATTGGGCGTGCAAGTTCGTGACTTTTCGGCTTGTTTCAACAATTTCACGAAATGAGACCAGACTACTTCGTGATATCTTGAGATCACTTCGAGTTTAGTCTTTAATTACTCGAGGAATAAATAGAGGATATTTCGTGGCCACGCAAAGACACGAAATTTCTCTTCGAGTGTTGGAAAACATTTCACAATTGCTTTCATGCGTTGCGTGACTTTCTCGAACGTTCTCTACGTTTTTGGATTAGCCATGAATAATTAATTAGGGCATGTTTACATTTCAGCATGAGTCAGCAGATTTGCATCAGTTACTGAAATCATAAAATATGTCGAAAAGCTACTACTACTCGCCTGTTTAGTATTTTCTAGAACCTTATGTCAAACGGTATACAAGTTCCAAGCGAGTTCTTTTGACGAACTAAGTTTTTTCCCACGAGCTGGACTGAGGTGTTACGAAAACTAAGACCCTCGAAAACTAAGACCTAAGACCTAAGACCTGTCTTAGTTTCCGAGATTACGAAAACTAAGACCCCCTAAAAACGAATTCGTCGAAGTATGAAGTCAAATTATAACCGAAGTTTGTCTAATCTGTCAAATTATCTTCTGTCCGATCCTTTCCACGGCGTTTTAGGTCAAATTTAGCGGTAAATTTAGGGGTCTTAGTTTTCGTAGTTTCGAAAACAAAGACCCCGCATAAAAACAATCCGTAAAATATATATAACGGCTGTACGACCGTTCAAAGACTATATTGCGTAAAACTACTGACAAAACTATCATCCGCTCGATCCCCCTGTTCTAATTTGTACACATGTATATTCAGGCATACATAAGGATGAAAGCCACAGAATACGTATGTATAAGTTGTACACTGAAAATGTGCCTTACCCCGATTTATCGATAATTTTGGTAGTTTGTCCTTAAAATCGAAAAATCGGCATTCCGCTGTAAGTGAATATTTGTCTTCGTTGCCGGCTGACCTGATTCCCGGGACCTGATTACGTTACCTGAATATTATCAAAATCGCTTCCGATTTGATCATCAGTTGGGTTATTGACATCACAAAGATAAGGATGTTTCCTTTTCTGGCCGGGTCATAGCCAGAAAAATGTTTTCTTAAAAAGGGGGAGAAAAAGAGTACATGCTACATTGCGTTCTCCGAGGGTTTATTTTTATCGTTGCCTCCTCGCAGATGGAAACCAGGGAAAACGTTAAAGGGAGGCGCGTGGAGGCGCGTGGAATTTCCTGTACTGGCGAGGCACTCGAAAATTTTCCGTTTAAATTTTAGAAAAACTAAACAAACAAACGTGAATGCCAGTTCAAAACAAAGGGAAGATTGCGTGTCAGTGGTGTGTCGAAAGGGCAGCCTACTAAGACAAAAATCCATCTACAGCAGCCAATTTTACGAGTTAAAGGTCAAATGAACCAAAAAATTGACATATTTTTTTTGTCGCTTTACCTTCACCAAACACTAAAAAGAACCATCCTAAGTGAGATTTGGGTAAATATTTTTCTTCCCAAGCCTTTACAGAAAGATAAAAGATCAAAATCCGAGCATTTCCGAAGACTTCACGAAAACGTTTCTGAAATGGCCACGCGATAGACTGGAGACTACGTGACGTCAACGTTGGTCTTTCAGGGCGGAAAAATGTTCTGCGCAAGCTTCTGCGCATCCTGCGTTTGTTTGTCTCGAGTTCTGACTGAGACTGAATGAAATACATGAGGTGCGAACGTTTGCCCCTTGTAAAGGCTTTTGATGTTGTTGTTTTTTCGTCACTTGAAAATTACTTTGGATTCAGAACAACCAATGTTAGAGTAAAAACAGATCATTCCGTCAGTCTGAGGTGGAATAAAACGTTTTGAACATTTCCAAACAGGTTTGTATTTTTCTGATAATTGTGCATTTGATATCGAAACTGAATGTGTCGAGATCTAGGAAGCCGAGCCAGCTTGGTTGTCTGGGCTTATTAGTATAGAGGGTCCTTGAAAGTCGCTTGTTAAGGGGGCATTCTGGTTGTTTTTTTCGGGGAAAATGATGGTGATTTGCGAAAGAAATAAATAAGAGTAGAAAAGGTATGCACGTAAAGCAGTTAGTCCGCTAATGGGATCAGAGGCACTCCTTGCTGGAGTCTCTCGTATTAATTTTTCTTCAGATTATTCACTTCATATTGTATTTCTAACAACCCCCTAATCCAATATTTTCCAACTTTTCCAACATTTTTAACATCCTACCTAATTTTTATCCATTAAAAACCTTCGAAGAATCATCCAGGAATTCTCCAAAAATTATTGAACCAATGCCTCAATCTTAACTGAGTCATTTTTTGATTCACGGATAACGCGAGGAGAGTAGAGGAAAGTCATTTGGATTATAGGGTATGGTTGCAAGAAACTCCCATTTAATCTAGAGTAGCTTTAAGAAAGGATTTAAGTCTGTATGCATGTTTAGACCTTAAGACCAATATTAACACCGAATGGTAACACTAGTGGCAATATGGCCAAGAAGGGGCTAAGACACTTTGTTTTAAGATTAGCTACAAAACACCGTTAAATGGTCGAACAAATAATCCTACATTTTTCGAAAAATTTGGGTTTTCAGACCCCAGACGAAATCTGCTTAGCTGATGTTTTCATTCTCGGACAAGTCTCACCTCCGGACATTTGTTTTATTTTCTTTCTTACCCAGTTATTTATCTCGAAACGTGACATACCGTAAAATTCCGAAAATAAGCCCCGGTTCTTATATTTTTCAAAGGCCCTTTTTGAGGGGCTTATTTTTGCACGGGCTTATATTCGTAGGAGCTTATGTGCGGAGGGAAGTTTGCGTTTCAAAATAGATTGGGCTTGCTTATAGTTGGAAGGAAATTAACCGTTTTTGCTTTGTTTTACTTTGTATCTGAGGGCAATTTTCCAAGCACAAGATCCCGGGGGGCTTATATTGGAGGGGCGATTTCACGGAGGGTTTTTTGTGTTATGAGTTTGGGCGAGCTTATACATGGAGGGGCTTATTTCGGAATTTTACGGTAGTTTCAGCATGGGATTCAAATATGGCCGCATAGCAGCAGTTTCAAAAGCGCATTGACTAGAATTTTGAATGAAATATTGGTCAATTTTTTAGCGGAGCTCTGGCGCGCGAAGCGCGCCTGCGG